GGGTGAACCTGGGCCTCTATAAAGTCCCTCCCTAGACCCTCTCTATTTCGAATTACTGAATCCGCCACGGCTCCCATATGTTGAAGTCCCTCCCTTCCACCTCTATTCAGAATTCCACCACGTATTTGCAAGTCGCGAATGTGCAAGCGCTTTACGAAGATTCACAAAGAACGTATTCGCTTAGAAACAACAACATAGGGATTTATTGCTTTCACTAGGACCATGTTTCAAATCAGAATTTTATGAATTCTCGATTATATATATTGTTGACGTCTACCAATCTCAGGCACGACGTGTAGCGGTTGTAATTATTTTGTTCATTCGCTATTTCCATGAATTCCACATTTACTTATAACATATATAACATTTACATTATGGTTAAAATGTAGTATTTTCAATGCCCAATAATATTAGGCTTGTTTTCATAGTGCACCATTGACATACGTTATTTCTTTAATGTTTAAATGTAATAATGTTTTATTTATCTTGTGCTATAATTTTATCTTGTGATATAATTAATGACACTTCGATAATGTTTTTAATTAAATTGATTTAATTTTTTTATCAGTATCTTAACATATCAAAGTGGCTATATTCATCGTTAGGCCTCAACAATTTTTATAGACTACAGAACATTGGAAAATAAAAACACTGAATAATGTTAGTTCTCAAAACCAGTGGCGGATTAGGTGAGGGAGATGCAGCTGGCCAGCCAGGGCCCTTCCCCTAAATTAAATGAAAAGGAAAATTATATTCAAATTTTAAGTTTTAGAGTGGCATTGCTGGACGCTTCGGGGGTGCCATAATTCAGAATTTTCCTACCTCAGCCAGCCCCAACGGGCTGAAGTAATATCGATCCTCTGTCTCTGAAGGTCCCTCCCTATCCCCTGCCCCCACCCCCTCCATTTCATGGACTGCTGAAAGACACGTTTAATACTGTTCATTGCATCTTCAAAATCTGTTGAGACCTCAAAATACCAAGAATGCGAGCGTGGGAGCTCCGCCCAAATTCGCACCCATCCAATAAAAATCCTGCGCAAGACCCTGCCCTAGAATAGAAGACCTAGCCTGCCAGAGCATTAATAATTGTGATACCAGTACATATTTTGTTTAAATTCCTCCAGAGTAATCTGCCACTGATCTAAAAAGGGCCAGTCAGAAAGTTCGGGGGTGGGGGTCCGGATGTCGCCGACCCCTAGCCCCGCTATGGATCCGCCCCTGTAGACCAATTTTTCATGATTCCTGAAGCCTTTCAATAATGAAATAACTTACAGGCTTAGATCATACGGAGACCCTAAAGGGACATGATTAAAGAAAATATTAAACTATTTCGAGGGAACGAAATAATATTTTGAGGGAACGAAATCATTTTGAGGGAACAAAAATCATTTCGAGGGAACGAAATAATATTTCGTTCAAATGAAATATTATTTCATTCCCTCAAAATCATTTTGAGGGAACGAAATCATTTCGTTCCCTCGAAATATTATTTCGAAATAGTTTAATATTTTCTTTAACCATGTCCCTTTAGGGGCTCCGTAGCTTAGTGTGAAGATGTTTAGTATAGGAAAGCCACTTGATAGTGGCATTCATCAGGTAATGTATGCCAGTCACTGTGTTTGCATGTTTTCTCTTGTATTGCTTTTATTTTGGATTTTGAATCAATTTTAAAGAATCAGGCGGAGCCCTAAATTGTACTAAATTTAATTAATCTGCCAGATATTCTCCGCAGTGGCGTTACCATCGGGGGACAAGGGGGAAATATCCATCTGTGGAAAATCTTTCCCCACCCCTTGAAGATGCTCTTTTTACCCCCTGAAAATGCCAAAAATTTCGCCCATTTCTTGTCAAAGTAGGCCAATTTCCTCTAAAAATTACCCATTTGAGGGAGTTCTGATCAATTTCGACGAAATTAGAACTAAAAGCACAAAAATTTTTTGCACGCTTCGCACGCATTTTTTAGGGTTTTTTAGGGTTAGCCTTCTAAGTTATTTAAACATATAATAGTCCCAAACTTAAGAAAGAAAATTTAAGATAGATCGTTTTACCTAAAAGAAGGGCCTCAATGACTAATGACGGTGAAAGAATATGTTTGTAATAAATAAAACCATGATGAAAATGCTTATATTTAGTTTCAAACACACGTGTGTGGCCTATATTATAAATAAGATAAGCCCTATGTCATATTGTTTTCTATATGGGTGGGGGATTCTTTTAATTTGTAAATATTATTCTTTTTTTGAAGGAAAAAATGCAATACCACATACTATTTGTATCTAAAATTTAATTATTGCAAATGTCATAACTATCGATTCACCACAACAAAGGGAGAACATGGCTGAATTTACATCACAGTTAACATAAACATTTATAATCAAGTAAATATTAAAGAATTCTGCTAAAAGATCTTCATATTATGTAATCTAAAGTCAAGGTATACAATCAAATGCTAAAAGATAAACTAGTTATTAACAGTTAAACCAGAT